ACGTTTTTAGAGGAATGAGTATCGCCAATACGAACTAGAAAATTCCGATGTTTTAAACAACTACGGATCATTTTTTTACAAAATGGGGCGATAGATGAACTTTTGCAAGCTTGTAAATGAGATCTTGACGCCAAACGCGGTCAAATGTCTTCTCAAAGTTGAGAAAGTATGCCGCAACATACTCCTTTCTGTAAAAAGATGTTGTGAGGAGTTCAGTAAGATTCAAAATTTGATGACATGTACCCTTTACGGAAGCCGAGTTGGTTCTTCTGTATAATATCATATTTTTAAACGTTCTGCGATTCTTTTTTAATAACTGTTTTAAATACTTTGTTAATACAATGTAAAAGGCTTATAAATCGATACCTGGAAATTGACAGGTGACAGGTGAGTTCGTATCCGGATACCCGGGCGACTTACTAGGACTATTCGGGTATCGTCCGGAATCCGCAACTGTGCAACGCGATAATTCTTTGGCGCCCCAGAAGCGCGGCGTCAGGAGCTCAATAGAAACTTTTGTTGGTGCTGTATATTGAAATTTGAGCATTTTAAACTGGTATTTAAACATTTTACAATAATTATAATTTATAATACAATTATTGTATACTGACGCACACACTGCAACTTTTACATAAATATTATACATTAATAATTAAACATTACCGTGGTGAATTTTATGTGCACCTAGGTTTAATCGCTGTGAAAAAATTATTACAATAATATTTGTTTTGCACATGCGTAGGTTGTTGCACGTACATAAACATTCCACATTAATAATTAAACATTTTACTCCTGGTTACAGGTCAGTGAATCTGCAAAAATTTTAGCAAACTCGGATTCTGAGTGGGCAAGCGAATTGTTATGTAGTATCTGTCCAATGAAATTCATTTTGTCAGAGTGAAGAGATTTAGCTATTTTCTAGACTGTAGCTGGTTGAATTCCCATATTGCTTATTATTTTATCTCGTTGATCAGAATGATATATTGGATCTCTTGTACCTAGAATCATCAAATTTTGAATGGCATAATCCTACTGCGAATATGGGCATGTGGAAGCCCAAATTTGAAATTTGGAATTTGTTTTATTATCGATTTCATATTTTGTAAAACTTTACGAATTTTTTATTAACAAACTCAAAGATTTCAAAGTGAGCAATGGCAACGTTGTACAAAAAAACATTTTTATCTTCAGCGCGTGAGACTGTATCGGAAATTCTAAAGATAAGCTCAATTTAAAATTATTTTGCGTATTGCTCTTGAACTGAAATTTTATATTTTAAGTGCGCAAGAACGTGATATTTAATAAATAAAGGTAAAAGACAAAATTTAAAAAAAAAAAAAAAAAGTCCCTTTTGGACGTAATTTAAAATCTGAAACCTTTCAGATTTTATTTATTTATTTATTTATTTTCAATTTTCTATTTATTTTATTTATACAGCTCCACATTAATTTTGATCCACTGAATATCAGTAATCATGTAGATTTCTTTGCTTTTATCATTTCGTTTAGTTTCAATAAGAAAAGTGTTAAAAGGTAGTTCGCCTTCTTCATGTTTTGTTACTTGACGAACTTTGATTACAGGAATTTCTTTTTCACTCAGCTCCAGCTTTATCTCGTTCATAGATGTATCGATGGGGAGATTTTTAATCACCATAATAAAATCAGTGGCACAACCACCTCTATCTTTTGTAGCGTATACATATGAAAAGGAACACCTTTATCAAGAAAGAAGCTTTGGATTTTGCGATAGTCGTTTAAGTCAAATGCTCATTTTTTAATTCGCTAGCTGTGAGCTGGTCTTCTATTTTACCTTCTCCATGCCCTTGCAATTATTCTTTATGCGTATACTATTTTACTTTGCGTTCTGTAATCACATAGGGAGAGATCTTCCCCTCTACTTTGTTAGGTTATAATCTGAGTCATTGTCGACATTTGTGGTATCTATGTTATTATTGCCGTTTAAAGGCGAAAATTTTTTGTTTTGAGAAATTTCTGCAACATCCGGATCTCGAGTGGATTTTTTGGAAGCGCTGTAGCTACGAGATAGGCTGTTAAGCCTTAGTTTCAAATATGATTCAAACCAAGGCTTGACATAATTCCGCGGCGCGCGCATGCAAGCCTCGATACACGAGGGACATTTTGAAAACCTTCCTGTGTAAACAAATGCAAAACTGATGTTCATGTTTCCAACGAATTTTTTTTTCTCTTGCATCGGATATGACGTAACCGGATATGAATACATCGAATCATATTTTGCAACTGTAATAATTCTTGTTGGCTTCACAACAGAGCTTTAACATAGCGTTTTTAAAATTTTTGAACTGTTATGTTACCTACCAAGTACACATAATCTACTTACCTTGGATAATTAGTAGAATTTATGAAACCTTTTTAAACATGAAAATTCAATTAAAAAAATTGTCGTTGTCCGGATCCGATAACACATAAAATCTTTAAATTAACTTTAAAATTTAATTAATCCATAATTTCTTAATTGAGCATTTTAAAAACAGGAAACTCATTTTTTTAATAATTTACACTTTTATTTTATTCTTAATAGTATACCTAGTTTGTATAGGATATAGTTTCTATCAACTACGTATATTATTAAGAATATTTAATTATTACATAAAATAATAATTAAATATTCTTAATAATATACATAACTGATATAAATTAAAAGCTTGTAATATATGTAACTGATAATTTTTATGAGTATTTCTAGCATTATTGCAATTCATAAAATATATTTCTAATGCCATGTATTAAGTAACTTGCACGGAATCATTTCGGCTCCCTTCCCCCCCAAAAAAAATCTGAAATTTGAAAATTTAAGGTTATATTCTTAACACTTAGAACAACTTAACGTTAACATTTTTAAAAGGTTTAAAAAACATTCTTACGGTTGGCTCTACCTTAAATGCAAATAACATCTACTGTTGCCAAAACAACAAAACTGAAATTTAGATTCTAAATTTTAAAAGAATTTTCAAATTTAAAAAGAAAAAGAAAATTCAAAAAGAATTTTAATTTTAAAAGCTGGGCCTTTTTTATTGCATTGCGTTTCTAAACATAAAATAACAGAAGGAAAAAATATCAAAATGTTATAAAAGTAAATGACTTTTAATGAAAGTAAAAAGAGAAATATATATATAGAAAATTATAATTTGTATGTTACTTGCAGATTGGGGCTTTCCAATTTAGAATTTAGAAGAGTCTTTCTATTAAAACCGGGGGGGGGCTGAGTGCACAAAAACACTGTTATCGTAGTATAACATTATATATGGTATTGTTATGAAAAATAAATAAATATTTGAACTACATTTCATGACATTTGTTTCAGTCTCAAAACCATCAGACTTTACTGGCCCATTTTACAAAATATTTTTACTGTACCATCTTTGCTTTTGTTATATGTTACTACTATTTTAAGTGTTACACTTTGCTTGTTAAATTTGATAAGTTATACTGCCAGCCTACATACGCTCACTTTTTCCCATATATATTAATGGTAATTGTTTCTTCGTTTTAAGCATTTTGGTTTGTAAAAGTTTCATAGCAACGTTCTGCTCTGTGATTTAAGATAGTGGAAGAAACATGTAATTTTTTAAAATTTTCCTGATACTTAGTGGTATTAAACAAAAACTATGGTCATCCAAAAAGAGTGCTGAGAAATTTTGCGGTAGATTTCTCAAAACGGTTTCCCCCCCCCTTTTTTTTGTCTAGTATAACACTTTTTAGACGAATTTATTTCCTTCTTTACTTTTATTAATTCTTTTTCTTTTTCTTCCTTCTCTATCTTAGGAACACAAAGTTAACAACTGAAACAAAAGTAAATATTTACGCTTCAGTGGGTTTTTCATAATCATTCGTATCACACGAAATTATTGTTTTAAATTCGTTGGTTTCTTTTCAAACTTTAGCTCTTTATCTAATTAGTAAAAAATCACAAAAAGAGTATTCATAATACAAAAGACATCTATGAAATAATAAGTTACTTGAAAGTTATTTCAGCGCAAATAAATTCCAAACAAATTCGGTTATGTTAAAATTTTGCTGCATTTTTTTTAAGAATAACTTTCCTTCTTCTTCTTTTTTTATTTATTTTTTTGGGGGGAAATCAATTAGAAGATAAATGTAACTGTCATAGAAATACCAATTTCCTACAAAGGATTTAACTCACGTTTAAATTTATCTAGAATAATTAACTGGACTTTAATAACATTAATTAAATAAATAAATATTTCATTGGGAAAAAATAAAAATGTCTGCATCGTATACACATTATACATAATGTTATTTTTTATGAATTACAGCGTCATAAATATCTTTTATCAATCACATTAATGCGGTATACCCTCAAGAAGATTTAGTATAGAATTCTATAAAAAAATCCAGAGTTAAACTTCTGTAGAATCCTTTAGAATTATAGCTCAGTTTTCTATAAATTAAGTCAGAAAATTTACTATTGAATCTGACATAGTTACAGCTTCTCTAGAGTTGTGTATATAGATTCTACAGATATATAAAGATTTGTGCAGAGAGAGATTCTATAAAATTTTTACATTTTCTAAAGTTCCGGCACGTATAGAATTTTATATACAACGTTGAATTCTACTGAAAATAAACCCAGGTTATAGAAAATGCGGCCGTAATTCTGAAGAATTTCAAACTGTTTCCTGTTTCAACAGTTTCTATAGAATGTTTTGTAAAAACATTCTATAGAAACTGTTTTTACAAAACAGTCTATAGAAAAAATTCAATTAAAAATTAAATCTGATATGAAATTAAAAATCTGATATGAATGATACGTGACTTCCTTTTACGGCTAATAATTATTCTTTTTAGAACAACAATAAACTAATTTTATGTATTGCTTGATATTTATTTTAGAATAATTACATATAAACTGCTATTAAATTGTTATCTGTATTCATTATTTCTCGAAAATCTGACATTGCCAAAAGATTAAATTTATCATTTAAAACACTTATGTTGCAGGAAATATGTGACTACGACGAACTATTCGAAAAATAAAGGTCGAGTAAGGACATTTAAGGCAGGTAAGCGGGTGATTATATAGGGTGTATATATATATAATTACAAAACAATTTTTTTAAACAAATAGTATTTTATGTATTTTTGCTCTTTAAGCTGCGGAAAATTATGTATATAATGTAATACATAATATATATATATATATATATATATATATATGTGTGTGTGTGTAAGATAAAAAATATGAAAGCCTTTTTCTAAATTTAATTCACTATAACCTCTTGTATTTTTTATTTCATTTGGAAACTTCATCTATCTACCTTAAAAATAGCACTTAAGTCAAATAATAAATGCCTTAAAATAGCACTGCGTCATTAAAATTAATCATGCGATCTTACGTAACTCTTAATGCAGATGCCTCTTGAACAATCACCGAATTGTAAACCAAAATTGAAAATTGAAACTTTTGACTTCCTCCCTTCTTTCTATGAATTGATACGATACTTTTGCTTGTGCTTTCCTCTTGGCCAGACGTCTTTCTGCAATCATGTGTGTGCTGCTATATTCGCTTCTATGGCAATAATATCAAAATTGTAAATGTTCTTTAATAGGCACGAGTAGAGTGCCAGGGGATTTGTGGCCACAAAATGAGAATTTAAATAAGAAATTTAATCCTGCTCGACTGCTTCTTTTTCAAAAATGGATGGACGCTCTAAGCATTAAGTATCCACGCAATTAGTATTTCTACGCCTTTACGTCTTAGTGTTCATATTTCAATGCCTCCAAAATTGTTCTGCCATTACATTCTTCGGCCAGTTCTAATTATGAAAAATTCTGCACGAGTTTGCTAAGGTATGTTCACAGTGAATCATGGTGTGATTTTCATGCAAGTTTGTGCCGCATCCATAATCAAATCTTTCATCTCGTGTCATCTAACCACAGTTTCATTACATATATATATATATATATATCCATACATAAAATTTCCATACATAAATATATATATATATATACATCCATATATATCCATACATAAAATTTCAACATTCTACGGCTAATCGCTGTTAAGCAAGATACATATATACAGACGTCACAAAAAATCCCTTTTAAATACATTTTAAATACATTTAACAATCCGCTCTGGAAAAAAAAAGAAGAGTCCTTTACTCTGTCCGTACGTACAGATGTTATGAACGAAAATGGTTCAATTGGATTCGGGAACAGTCAAATCGGATATTTCTGTTGAAACATGATACCTGAACTTCGTAGAAGGAAGTAAAAATAGATTTTACGCTTTTGCAAAATTTAATTTTTGTATTATATAAGCAATATTGCACCAAAAATTGCACAAAATGTTACATGCATTTAGAAACTAAAAATTGTCAAGCTAGAGGAGAAAATGGCAGAAATTACTGGAACATAAATGTGTCATTTTTTCTCGTACAGCACCCTCTATCGATGATAATTTTAACTATTTTTTTCTTTTACCCCCATAAATTCCCCTCTTCACGAGAATAACGTTTTCGCAAATCGCGTACAATTCTACCAATTCCTTCAAGTTTCATGAATTTTAAAAATATTTACAGACTTATGGGACACCCTGTACAAAATTTCAACTGAGGGTACAGGGTTTTGAGTTATGCGAGATGCATAAATACGTATAGACGTCACGAAAAAGTCTCTCCTGAACCCATTTTACAATCCATTTTGAAAAAGAATATCCTTTATTCTGCCCGTACTTACAGACATCACGGAAAAGCATCGTTCAAATGGATTCGAGAGTGGTCAAAAAGGATATTTTCGCTGAAATATGATACCCGAAATTTTTCGCGGTTACAATACTTCCTTTACTTTGTACAAGGAAGGAATAAACCAAACATAACTATTTTCTTCCGAATAATGTCTTTTTTTTTTTCCATTCTTAACAATCAAAACAAAAGATACAGAATTTGTTGCCAAAAATTAAAAGTTATTCAGTGGATTGTGGGTGGTCTCAGATGAAGTGAACCACAGTATTTGAGACAGTAATTAACCTCGGACATTTTTTATGGTTTTCCTTATGTATAATGTGTGCAGAAGTCCGTTTTCCTTAGAAGCCCTTCATGAAAGCATTCCTTCCTTAAACAAATAAGAAAATAATCAAGTGCAATCCTAGTGACAATTAAACAATTTTTTAGGTTAATAAAATAACATAAGTGTTTTCAAGCATGTGACAATAGTTCTCGTAAAGCAAAAAAATGATTATGGATAGAATATATTGATTTGACAACTGAAAGGCATTTATATTAAACTTCTGCTAAAAAAATACACAACAAAGGTAGACACGAAATAAAACAAAGACTATTTAATGGATGGGTTAATTGATTCAATAGGTTGGTGTGGCATTACTATACCGCATAGCAAACAATAAAGCAAAGATATACAAAAGCACATCTATTACGACCATCATATCGCGAAAGACAAAATGGGTCGAAAGAATGTGCAATGGACACATCATGCTAATAACGGGTATGATACCTTCCAGCTGAAATGCATGCTTGACAACGACGGAGCAAGTTGGCAATAGTCTTTGATCACTTCTTGTGGCAGTAGCACCCATTCCTGTAGCAATGAGTGTCGGAGCTCGTGAAAGCTGCCTAGTGGCATACTGCGATCTGCTATCCGTCGTTCCAACATGTCCAATGACCGGTGATCTAGCACGCCACGGCAGATGTGGAAGGATTCCACTAATAACTCCGCATTATTCGAGTTCTGTGTGGGCGTTATCATTCATAAATATCACGTCAGTACCCATTGCAACTATAATAAGACTCACAAGAGTGTGTAGAATTTCGTCATGATATCGGACAGCTGTGACGGAACCACGAGGAATCACGTTCGTTGCTATCCAAACCCATTCAAGTAAACCTCCTGCTCTGTAATGATCTCTTTCGACGATGTTTGGCGCCCGATTAGCGTGTCCCTGGCTCTCGCCATATCATTCTCTTCGGGAATCGTTCTAGGTATTATATCGAAACTCATCCGTAAACAGTACGCGGCCCCACTGCTCTGGTGTCCAGCTGTGATGTTCACGGACCCAATTCAACCGCTCTGTGACATGCGATGGGGGACAAAGAAATACTAATCACAGGTCGTCGGACGTACAATCTACCTTCATGCAGTCGATGTGAAGTAGTTTCCTGTAGCAGTAAAGAGATCCGACACCAGCTGTAGTGTTCTTAGTGATCTACGGCGTCTTGCACATAGCAATAGAAAGCGATCGTCTGCTGTTGTGGTAATCCTCCGGCGTCCAGACCCACGTTTTCTACAGGGGTTTTGATCCCTTTGATTAAGATTCCACAGCTTGCTGATGACACGATGGTGCACATTCAGCTCTGTTGCAGCAGCGGCTTGTCTTGGACCAACTTGCAACATCCCGATAGTCCTCCAATGCATTTCATTTCAGTGCAAATGGTATCTTCGGCTCATGCGTTTCGCTTTGGCTAACTCGGATTACACGGAACTATCCAGTTTGCTTGCGAGCTGACGCATAGGTCCAGCATACCCCTTTTTCAGACGTTGTGGTGTGACTGAAAGATTGCGTTTTATGCTAACTTTGATTCCCATTTGTATTTCAACCTCTACCTCATATGTAAATTGCACGTTTTAATTCTCCTTTTACATTCGTACCTTTTCTTTTAGCGTTTGTTGCTTATTTTTTTAGCACGAGTGTATGAAATATTCAATGGTTTCGTGTTTATAAATGATGAGATATATAGTGCTTCGGTAAAGGTGAATTACAGATAAATTGTTTACTTATATATAGGAATATAAATTTCATTCGTTAATGTTAAAAATACTTATATACTAAAAGGCAAAGCATTACCATGACTTGAAAGATACGGTGTAGCATAATGGTGATTGGATATTTTCAGTTTCCAAAAATAACGTTAACATTTTTTAATGCGTAGAATTGAAATTAGAGGTTTTCTTTGAGGTATGGAATTACTTAGTCTTCTTTTTGCACTAAATAGTTTTCCTAAAAACAAAATTCAGATTGAAAACTAATATGTTTGTTTTTTTTAAAGCGAGAAAATCATGCCAGAAAAGTTTTCGGACACTATTAACATTGCGAACCAAATCATCTATAATAAATGACAATGTACATATTTATGTTTTTATTTTGTATCGAAACAATACGAAAAAATAATAAAAAATTGTTTGCTTAAGTTATGCATTTTACCCATTTTATTATTTTTTTAATATGCATTAATTCGATACATTTCTGTTAGAAAAGAAATTTATTCTTAATTTGTTACTATAAAAAGAAAAATCTGTTAGAAAAGTTGCTAAAATACGTACTAGTTTACCTTTAAGCACATGTGAAAATGTTAAACAGAAGAACTTTCAAAATGAAAGACCATTAAGGCTGTTCTACAGAATACCCAGAAGGAATTGGAATATCCCAAATTTAACGTATAACTTTATTAATCATGTAGAGTATTCGCTAATTAAAAAAGTGTTAAAATAATACGCTGCTTGACAATTTGTAAGGAACAACAGATTTATGCAAATTTTCGTTCCCAAGAGCAACGTTGTAAAATAAGAACTATTACCTATGTGAAAGGCGATGGGTTTTGTTTCGTTATTTGTAATTTCAAAAAATAACATTTGAAAGAAAAATCAACTTGCTAATTTTTGTAAATATTACGGTTGGGAATATTGTAAGATGAGATCTAAGGATTTATGATTGTGGTTGAGCCGATGGATGTTTCGAGACCGAGCAAAATGATGGGTCTTCGAAGAATATTATTTCGTGATTGAAAAAAGCTGCTGAAATGCTGCGCGAAGACCGTAGAAGGGCCATCAAACTTCATAAGAACAGATATGTCTGCCTAGTGGCCAAAAGAAAATAGAAATTTCACTCTTGGTCAGATAACCGTAGATTTGACAATGCTATCGACGCTCGCATACCTGCGAGAACCATTCCTCGACGGTTAAATAATGTCGGCTTGTATGTTAGGAAGCCTATTGCATCCAGTCCGCTACGAGCAAACCATTGCCGGAGAAGTGTTCACTTGAAAAA